TACATATTATGATTTTTCAAATTATTTTCAAATAGTTTTCAAAACCTTGCCCATTAGGATTCGATTTAGAGAACCTTGAATTATTGAGGACTCAATTGAGTTTTGGGATTGATTATTGTGCATACATGTTTTTCAAATTGCAGGTCTCATTCCTTATTCCGATTCCTTAACCATGTCCAACCCCAAACATCCTAGGACTTCATCGAGTCGTTCAACCCGACCTCCTAATCTCATTTCTCCTCTACCTAATAGTCTTATAGGATCCTGTTTCAATATGCCTGAACGTCGTAGAGAAGAATTGTACTCTAGGTACATAAATTCTTTCCAATCCTATAAAATCTGGGAAAAGCGTATTCCTTCTCTTCAAGCAATGATAGATATTGACTTCGAATACCTTCCGATTCTTAAAACTTGGAAGTTTGATAAACTGTTTCACCTCAAACCTATCGTCTATCATCAGTTAGTCCGTATTTTCTACTCCAATGCGGTATGCATTCAAAACCAAACTCAATGTGGGACTATAGCAATTAGATCCTATCTTTTAGGCCAATATATTAATATTGACCCCGAGACTATAGATTTCCATTTTTGGCTAGATGATGATGGGTTATATAATGAGAATGAAACTGTGGAATATCCCTATATTTCAAACTCTAGTGTTAGTACTCTACGATCTCATCACGATCGTTTTCTTTATTTGATGATCTATTGGTGGTTTAGACCATCCGGAGGTAGGTGCTCTACTCTTCGTACTAGATATTTATGGTAGATGCACTGTATCAAGAATAAGAACAAAATAAATCTGCCCCACATTATATTTAGTCAACTAGTGGATATCATAAACATTGTTCATTCAAAACATGTCGAAACATTAATTTATGGATGTCTTCTTAGTAATCTTTTTATCAAACTTTGTCTAAACGTCTCTCTTTACAATCACATTCCTCTCCAAAACCAAATCAATCTCACCTCGTTGAAGAAAGCGGATTGGAAACAAGACGAGGAAACCGGTCTTTGGGTCTTTCGACCCGGTAAGCAAACTCTGGGAGCTAGTTCTTCACGAGCTGCTCCTAGCTTTTCTCGTGCTCCTCCTCATCCGGCACCGGCTGCTGACGATGATCTTGAGTTTCAACAACTTATGCAAGATATCGATGATCACGTACCATACGATGAGCCTACACCCGAACCAACACGACAAGAAGATCAAATGCCACTATATTTTCGATCTTTCTTAGAGTCGTTTGATCTGAGGTTTGCCTCCATGGAGTCTCAGATTACTGAGTTTCAGCAGGAGATGCGTGAACGTATGGACGCTCTCACTCTTGAAGTTCGAGCTCATGATCCTCCTCATCCCGATCCTCCGATGGAGTAAATTTGTTTCCTTGTTATGTTTTCTTGATTTTTAAAACTTGGATTGATTTTAATGTTTCTGGATTGTTTGTTTTGGATTGTTAAATGTTTCAATTTGTTATGGTTTGGATTATTGGATTTTGAACTTAATATATAATATATATATATATATATATATATATATATTTGGTTTGGTTGAATTTTCTTATTTTTGCATCATTAGACATATATGACCAATAATGCCATTTCACATTTGATTATGAATATTGATTATGAAACTAATGACTAATCTCTCTTTTGATTGTGATCTTAGCAGCTTAAGCTATATTTACTTATAATCAATTGGCTATGATTTTCAAAACCTTGTTTAAAACGTTTTAAAGTTTTTTTGATTTAACAAAAAGGGGGAGAAATATTAAGTGTTGAAGGGGAGAAGTGTTATAGTAAGGGGGAGTAATTTTTCAAAATTGATTTCAAATTTTTAGAAAATCTTAAAATTACACAAATGTTTTGTTATATCAAAAAGGGGGAGATTGTTGAAAATATTTTGATGTTTCGATATAATAAATTAAGTATAAATGAATTTTAAGATTTTACAAAGATTTTTATAAGTATATTCGATTCAATTAATCGAATATCAAATTATTACTCCAAGTCTTTCAAGATCAATTTCAAACCTTACTAAATGTGTAAAATTGTGTTTTATACTTCATATATTTTTGAAACAATTTTTCACAAAGTATTTTGAACCAAAATCAAGCCTAAAATCAATTTTTCAGAGTGATGCATCGATGCACCATGGAATAAATTGCACATCGAATGCATTTTTATGCATCGATGCACTCTGGCTATTTTGAAACATCAAATGCATTTTATGCATCGATGCACTCTTAGTGCACCGATGCACTAAGGGTCCAACGGTCAAAATATTTAAATTTTACACTTGATGCACCGATGCACCATGGGTATGCATCGATGCACTGACGCTCCCAACTGATTTTATTAATTGTTTTCACACTTAAACGGCTCTATTGACTCCACTAATCATTCCCAACGTTCAGAATCATTTGAAGGAGTATTTAAACAAGCTTAGAAGCCATTGATCAACAAGAAAAAATAAGTAGAAACAACAAAAATCAAGAATTAAGAGAGAATCAAAGAGAAAGCATCAAACCTCAAGTTTGAGCATTTCAAGCCTATTTTTCATTCAATATTCATTTTACTTTCAAGAACACTACTTGTACTCAATTGTATTTATTTTTTAGTGTTCTTTTCTTTGTTCTAGAATTGTGCAAACAATCTACCTTGTGAGGATTTCCTTGTAAGTTTGCAAATTTGTAATCTTCTCTTTGAGAAAGAGTGTTCTCAAGAATTTGGGTATATTCTTGAGGGAGTTGTAAAGTTATCTCTTTGGCCTCAAAAGAAAGAACAAATTAGTGAATTTATTGGAAAATCCTTAGTGTGGATAGCTAAGGTAGTGAACGTAGACTTTGGTTGAGAAAGTCGAACCACTCTAAATCGCTGTGCAAATCTTTTCAATTTTCTGCAAAAGCTTCCACCAAAATTTTAATTACCAATTCACCCCCTCTTGGCCGATTCCATCAATCGATTAACTCAACAAACTATGCTCTGATACCAAATGTTAGACATGTTTTCACATAATGGACATAAATTCAACGAAAAATAGATCGTTATAAATACCTCCAGCCATTACCTACACCGTATGTCGAAATCTAGGAATTGAATATACAACCGTCAAATTCTTCGGATCACCGTTTACCACTGTGAACCACCACGAACCAATGTCGAGCACTTCGAACTTGGCTGCACAAAAACTAGAAATGCCAAGGATCTTCTAAGCACTCAAAACCTCACTTAGATGGAGTAAATTCCAAAAAGCTCTCAAGTGGAATGGTTTGGAATGTGGTGTGTTGGTGCTTGGGGACCTAGGCTAGATAGGTATTTATAGGTGTGGTTCCCCGTAAAAAACCACCCAAAACTACCCCATATCATAGAACGTGGGAACACAAAATTATGGGATAACTCTCACTTGCCATATTAAATGCAGTTAACAAAGTGGTGGCATAATGCACGAACCACATGCAGTTTCAACACATCAATCATCATATTCTCATAATCTTTGGTTCTAGATGATCCAGTTACCATGTCAGCGTAGGTTTTTCTTCCCGTTTCTGTCCAATCTTTGTGTTTCAATGGACTTGTTTTCCCATTGCTTAGGTAGTGGTTTTCGTGAGAATATTCCATGCAAACATCTGTCAGTTTTCCTTGCTTTTTGGATATCGAGAGTTTTGATTCGTTCTCCCCGTGAGTCGCGGGTTATTCTCTCATAATTCTAAGGTTCCTCTTAGGGTTCTTGTGGATTTTTTTCTCCATCGGGTTGTAAGTCTGGCGGCCTTTCCCCCCTTATTCCGAGGAGGTCAATATGAGTATCTTTGTTTTTTTGATGTTGTGCTTTCTTTAAGGTTTCCATCGCAAGTCTTATTATTTTCTAATGTTAATTCCAATAAATTTTTTTACTGTTAATCTCAATTTTTTGTTTTCACTCGTTAAATGATTAAGAAAACGTTTAAAGGTTCTTTTTAATGTTAATCTCTACTATTTATTTTCTAATGTTAATTTCGTTCATTTATTTGTATTAATCAAACAATTTGATAATATATATATATAAATTAAAAATTTCGTATTATATTAACAGATCGTACCATCTATATATATGAAAACTAATAAATAAACTGTGTCCCTCGTCCAAACATAACAAGTACGTCCTCGACTTGGACCAAATTAAAGTACATAATTTAAAGTGGCAAATTAAAGTACACAGACTAAAGCAATAACTGTTGCATAGCGCAGGGAGTAATAGAAAATTTTAACCTTTTCTTTTGCCAAATATGGAATATTAGTTTAATTCGCCATAATAGTTGGTATAAAACAAATCTTGGGGAAAGGACAAATAATGATGACTAAAATATATTGAAATAATTAATTTTAATAATTAATTTTTTAAATAATTATTAATTTTTATTAAATTATTATAAAATAATAATCAATCTTATTGAAATTTTATAAAATAATTCCTAAATTTGTTAAAATTTATTACTATTTTATAAGAATCAGTTCAGTGTTATTTTGTAATAGTTTGATAAAATTAATGATTGTTTCATAATAATTTAGTAAAATTAGTGATCATTTTGTAACATCTAAAATTTTAATGACTTGAATAATTATTTCAGAATAATTTATTGATAAATTTGTTAATTTTTTTAGTGAAAGAATTTAGCTTAAACTATGTATTTAGTTACACATCTATTATGTGGTTTTGTAATTATTTTTCCAAAATCATATATAATGTTATGTTTTGATTTTATTTTGGTCATTTGTCGTTAAAAAATAAATAAAATTACTGATGTGGTCATTTTTTTAGTTTTCAATGATGATACAATATTATCTTATGAAGACACTTTAGTATCGCGGTTAATCTTTTAACGGTCGGAGATTAAAATAAAACAAAAATATAACGTTAATTGTAATTTTCAAATATAAAGCTGATTGAAAAGTGAAACTGTGTCAATAGTTAGGTGACTAAATACGAATTTTACCCAAGATTTTAAGCAGAGAGTTACAAATGCACTTCGAAGGCCAAAATATCAGTGGTTTTCCCTGCTTCAAGTATGATAACCAGGACGACACTTACTCGAGCTCCTTTCGTTCCCATCCAAAACCCTAAATCCAATCCCTTTACTTCAATCCATTTCCCTAAAAGACCCAATTTCTCAACCCTTCCTTTTCACCGATCCTTTTTACATTCTTCTTCACTCAATTTCACACCCACAAATCAAAGCCGTTACTGCATTAGCCCCAGCCAGGAACTGAACTATGAAAGCAATGAAGATTTGATCGAAGAAAACAATGAAGAAGAACAAGAAGAGGAAATAAGCCGGAAAATTAAGGCAGAGGAATTAGCAAACCAGAGCATATGGAATCAGATGAAAGAGATTGTGATGTTCACTGGTCCAGCTACTGGACTTTGGCTTTGTGGGCCTTTGATGAGTCTTATCGATACTGCGGTTATTGGTCAGGGAAGCTCGGTCGAGCTCGCCGCTTTAGGTGATTGATTAAATAAATTCCTTTGAAAATTTTGAACTTTGGGTTCTTTTTGTATTATTAATTAATTGAAGGAAAATAGATGAATGGTAAGAGGTTTCATATATGAAAATTTGTTGACTGACTGGTTCAATTTTGATGTGCAGGTCCTGCAACGGTTGTTTGTGATTATATAGGCTATGTTTTTATGTTCCTTTCAATTGCTACTTCCAATATGGTGGCCACTTCGCTTGCTAGACGGGTTAGTTTCTTCAACATTATAGTGGGCGTTATTGCTTTTACCAGTAATACCGGTAACATAGTCTCAAAGCTGAGTTGGTGTCCTGAGTTAAGAGTAATATAAACTCAATAGTAAACTTATATAAATATAAGGATTAAATTTATGACTTAACATGATTGTTGTTTGATTTAACCAAAAAAAAGGATATGTAACTTGGAGATTTATCCAAGTTCATGTCACTGGGAATGAGTATTTATGCATATCGTTCATGTGAGTGCTTCAACTTGATAAAGCATTATTGCATGATTATTTCATTGTATTTGACTATTTTGTGTATTGTGATACCTTTGGTCTTACTTTTGAAGGACTCTCTGCCATGTGTATACTTTGAATAATCTCTTTGTACTTGCCTCACCATGTTTAAGGCTTCGTGTAGGCTTAACTCTCTAACAATACTGTGTTGCTGCAGGGTAAGGATGAAGTTCAGCATCAGATATCTATCATGCTTTTTATTGGGTTGTGTTGTGGCTTATTGATGCTTTTCTTGACAATGTTCTTTGGTTCGTGGGCGTTGGAAGGTAATAATGACTGGTAAAGCTTTTTTTTTTTTTGGGGGGGGGGGGTTGTCCAGATAATCAAAATGTAACTTAGAGGTCAAGTAAAAATGAATTTCTTCTGCCATTTGATCCTTTCAGCTTTTTCTGGGCCAAACAATGCACATCTTGTTCCTGCTGGAAACACTTATGTTCAGGTTTTATTTTCTTCTATGCTTCTTACCTATTTAAACTTTTGGATATTCTTTCTTAGTAGGCTTGTCTTTTTACTCCCATAAATCTTAGAATTTGAATTTGTTAGGAGGAGAGGTAACTGTAGTATTGGAACGCCTACTTCTTTAAATCAATTCTAATTCCTTTTCTCTTATTGTTCATGGTTCCGAGATGTTTGAGATGATGTTATTATTTAGAAAATTGAAGGACATTTTTTTTTGAAGATTTCTTAATTTATTTGTTATAGGTTATATCTATCTGATGGGATGTCAAACTAATGAACTGACCAATTGAATTAAAGTATCTCCTGAAATATTCTCCATCTTTAATTGGTTTTGAATTTGAAGTGTCATATCTGCTTTCATCTGTCCATTTGTTTATTTATATTATGTAACGGAGGGTAGAAGGTATTTAATTGCCTTCTTGAGGCTAAACTGCCCTTACTTAACCTAGGGAACATAAAATTCTGAAGCTAATGCTATTTGCATATGGCTGGTGGACATACATACATTACTGAAATCCTATTACTACCATCTTTTAGATAACTATAAGTTATTCCTATGGCTTCTTCTATTCTTGTCATTCTTGATTATTCCGATTGTCTTTTAATTGAAACAAAATCTCTTCTGTACGTAGATTAGAGGTTTAGCATGGCCAGCAATTCTAGTTGGATGGGTGGCGCAAAGTGCCAGGTTTGATGTATTTTATTTTCTCCTTCGCAGCTACTTTAGCTAGAGTCTTAGACTATACTATCCAGCTATAGCCAAGGATGTATGCTAAGAAGCTGTTGGATTATTTATGATCTTAGTTTCATCATCTACTTTAAAGGTGATATTTTAGTTCGTTTTCGTATATGTATTGCTCAGTAACTTTTATGCCCTATATCATCATACCTGTTTTAGTAGGATTTATTCTACCCCAAGTGCTGACGGATTTTCCATTGTTGAATTGCTGAAATTGTGAATACTTGTTTATTTCATATTTTTTCTGTTGCTCTAATTGCCTTTCTGTCTCAGCCTTGGCATGAAAGATTCCTGGGGACCATTGAAAGCTTTGGCTGTTTCCAGTGCCATAAATGGCATTGGTGATGTTGTTCTCTGCATATTTCTAGGCTATGGTATTGCTGGGGCAGCATGGGCAACAATGGTTTCACAGGTGCTGAATGAAGCTAGAATTTTCATTGACCAGGAAATAGTCTTTAGTCACTGCCTCTTAACAACATATGTTTTAGGTTGTTGCAGCTTATATGATGATTGAAGCTCTAAACAAGAAAGGATATGATGCATTTTCCATCTCCGTTCCATCATTTAATGAGCTGCTGAGTATTCTAGCTATTGCTGGTCCAGTATTTGTAACTTTGATGTCAAAGGTTTACATTCAACTTAAGTTAATAACACTTTCTTGTACTCCGCAACCATATGGTTTCATCTGAGACACTTTGATGTTCTTTTAGATAGTTTTCTACTCTCTCCTTATATATTTCGCCACATCCATGGGAACACACACTGTTGCTGCTCATCAGGTTAGATTTACTCTTACTTGTGATTTTTAGTCACTTATCTACTTTTATCTTGCTTTGTTGAAAATCGGTAGCCATTCACACCAGGTCATGCTTCAAATATGTGGCATGTGCACTGTTTGGGGTGAGCCTCTATCTCAAACCTCACAGTCATTTATGCCCGGGTTGATATGGAGTCAATCGAAATCTGCCAAAGGTGTTTTTTTTCCTCAACTTCAATACTGATTTCCTCTTTCCTGCCTCAATAGCATCAATATTCAGCATTGTGTATGTACTGAAGCATCCTTGATTTCGGATTCTGTCCGCTAAATGTGGTGACTTTTCTCATATCAAACAGGCTAGAATGCTGCTAAAATCGCTTGTCACTATTGGCGCTTCACTTGGACTGGTATTAGGGATTATTGGGACGGCAGTTCCTTGGTTTTTGCCCAATATATTTACACATGATATAAAGGTCATAGAAGAGGTTAGTTCTCGTTTCTTTCGAACCTTCCCATTGCCATCGGTTCACCAGTTACCGCTCTAAACATTTGAGATTTTGTTGCATCACTAGAACAAAAATATTCCTCACGAGACCAATTGGCCTGTAATTCAGATATTAATGCCATTAAATTCAAACCTGAATCTTTTATTACTTGCCCACATTCTATTTGGCTGGGATTAAAGGTATAGGATGTCAGAAGAAGGATTTTTTTTATAGTCTCTCTCTTTTTAAATATTTGACCTTGCAATTTAATTTTGTGTCCATGTAGATGCACAAGGTGCTGTTGCCGTACTTTCTTGCATTAGCTATCACCCCAAGCACTCACAGCCTTGAAGGCACTTTGCTGGTATGCATGTTTAATTTAAAGTTTATATCAATGCGAGTACTTCGGTTTGCCAGTTATCCATACACAAGTAGCGACAACTTGTCCTAGCTTCTCGAATTTACATTCTATCATGACAAATCCATTTGCTTTTGTAGGCTGGACGAGAACTTAGATATTTTAGCTTCTCAATGTGTGGATGTGTTGCTTTCGGAGTGCTTATAGCGCAGGTACAGATCCATTTCCTTGTTCATTATCGACTACTCTTTACCTCATAAGCCGATCAGATTTTGCGGTAGAATAGTCCTGACCTTAAGTGTTACCCAGCTTTTGAGTGCTGGAAAGTTTGGCTTGGCAGGCTGCTGGTTTGCTCTCGTGGGGTTTCAGTGGGTAAGACTGACCTGACATTTACACTTTGGCCATCGATTTCTGATGCTTCGAAATGCTGAAATTCGAATCCTTTCAGGCTCGATTCTCTCTCGCCCTTCAACGTCTTCTTTCTCCAAACGGCATACTCTACTCCGAAGATGTGGCTCGATTTGAAGCGAAGAAGATGAGATCATCTTAGTTTCGGAAACCATGGACTGCGTACGCCATTTACTGCAATCACATGCCATACATATTTCTCCGTATATCATTGATCTGCTGCTAGCAAATATTCCTTGCTTTTGTTTAACATAAATAGTTCAAAAGTAGCATTGTGCCATAATCAATGTTATAACAATGAATTTTAAAATTATGAAATGATGATTATTTTTTTAAAATTATTATAAAATAATTATCGATATAATTAAATTTTTACACATTTATTCTTAAATTTATTAAAATTTATCATTAGCTTATAATATGCAATGATTATTCTATTCTATAATAGTTAGATAATTTTATTGACTATTTTATATATTTTTAAAAATTTAATGACAAAATATTTTAATGTAACTTAATGATAATTTATTTACTTTATTCAAGAGAAAAAAACAGAGAGAGATCTATTTGTAAGGAAAACTGTAATTTTCAGGCATGGAAAAAGAGACCATATCCTCATAGGGTATACCCTAAAAAGTCATTGATGTTGGTAATACAAAATAGTCTTTTATCATATAATTTTCTAATTAATAAAAATATTTAAATAATTTGTTTTAATAGATTTCTTGAGCCTATTTTAATCAATTTTTAAACTTTAAAAAAGATTGGGTAATTATTGTAGATTTTAGAGATACTTTTTATTCATTCGTGGTTTATTTTCTGTAATCATTATTTATCGATTTATTCATTGGTTTTTTATTATAAATATTAAATATTATTTTTTATTTTTTCTTATTACATATTTAGGTGTGCGAATATAAAAGAACCCATATTAATTTAATTCGACAACTTCTATTACAAAATATAAAAATGATTTTTATCATAATACAATAAATATTATATTTTTATTTATGATTTATTTATTTATTAATAAATATTTTCATGTTTATTTTGCAACAATATATTTTTGAGTAAACTACATATTTAGTCACTCAATTATCATTTTGCTTTTGATTTAGTCACCTAATTATTTCTTTAAAACTATGTTTATGTTATGTTTTAGTTTTGTTTTTGATCGCTCGCCATTAAAAGATAAATAAAATTAGTTTTTATTTTTTTCAATGATTATATGGTATTATCTTATGATGACACATGAACATCAATGTTAATTTTTTAACGGTAGATGATCGAAACGGAATCAACATGTAATTATAGGTATGATTTTAAAAAATAATTGTTACTTGACCAAAATAGAACTGAAGTGATAGCTAGATGACTAAATGTATAGTAAACCCTATAATATTTTCTACAATGAAGAGATGCATACCATTGGTCGGATTCTAAAAGTATTCCAAATATGAGATCCCCTTTCATCCACGTTGCAACAAAAAGGAAATAAGAAGGATCTGAGTATTTGGCTTCTTGTTCGTTTTCTTGCAGCAGACAATTCAGAGCAAAAACCTCAAGCTTTCAACTGCTGTTCCTCGTCCGAACGCCGAACTCAACTGTAAATCTTGTTCGGCCGAGAAATATGCAGTCGACACCTCTCTTCAATCCTCCCCTGAAACCCCAAATATTAAATCACTCTCTCGCCGCTATTTTTCAACGTTCTTAAGCAAACCGCCATTGCCAAATCTCTCTTCCCTTCGCTTCCCTTCCCTTCCAAACACAGTCGTTTTGTGAAAAACTGCATTGGTTCTAGTCAAGAACTACCGCATTTCGTCTCTGAAATCGTAAAACAAAATGGTGGGTTTGAAAAAAACTCTCTTCGGATTCATTGTCGTTTCTTCACTTGTTAGCTGAGTGCGAATTGGTTTTGCTTGTTGTGCGAAAATGGACAGGCCCTGGAACAGTTCTTTGTGATTGTATCAGCTATGTATTTATGTTCCTTTCTGTTGCTACTTCGAATATGGTTGCCACTTCCCTTGCCAGAGAGGTCAGTTCTTTTTCACCTGATAAATAGCTTCACTATATGTGTGATATATGTATGTTGATGGAACAAGTTTATCTTGTCCGTCATTTACGGTTGGTGTAGTGGTTGCGTTGCTTACGTTCTTGTTGGCACCAGAACTGTGATGTCTTCCGAGTATTTGAATTCTTTAAATGTGCGTTTTTATATCATCTGCTACGATTCTTATGTTCGATTTTGTTAGTAGTGCAGTTGGTTTAGTTTATGATCTTCCTATGTTCCATTTCTATTTGTTTTCTTGTTTTTGAGCTAGAAACACCATGATGCAGGATAAAAATTAAGTGCAGCATCAAATATCTGTCTTACTTTGTGTTGGTTTATTGGTGGTTTGTTAATGCTCTTGTTTACTTGTATGAGTTTCGACTTTCCGATTAAACTTTTTCGTATATTCAGCTTACTTTGTCTAGCCAGCAATAAATCCTGCAATGAGTTCCAGTTGGTTGTTTCATATCTCATGCTTTCTATATTTCTCTGTTCTTTTCCCAGCTTTTACGGGGCCGAATAATGCACATATTGTATCAGCAGCAAACACATATGTCCAGGTTTCATTTTGATAAGTTATAGTTCTGTTTCATTTCTTGTTCTTCTCATATTTAACCAAATTAAACCGTTTATGCTGATACATTCGTGGCTTGGCATGGCCTGCAGTTCTTGTTGGATGGGCTGCTCAAAGTGCAAGGTAGGTATGCATCATGTCTCTTAGTCTGGTTGTCACCTAAATCTTCTTGGTTGGTCTCGAATTAAGTTACTACATGGAAATGCACATGTATCTTTACTCATGTTCGGATTTTTATCTGGAATTATATACTCCTATTTCTCGTTTTTCATGCCACAGTCTCGGCATGAAAGATTCTTGGGGACCATTGAAGGCCTTGGCAGTTGCTAGTGCTGTAAACGAAATCGGGGATGTAGTACTTTGCAGCTTTTTAGGCTATGGCATAGCTGGTGCTGCTTGGGCAACAATGGTATCACAAGTATATTCATCGAGCATTTCGACGTTTAACTTTCATAGTTTAATCATCTTTATCTTAACCTTCAAGTATTTCAGCTTCTTTCTTGATCTTCTCGTCGAACTTTTTGAAACTTGGATCTCGTTGCACGCTAACCAGTTTACTTCCCAGGTTATTTCTGCTTACATGATGATTGATTATTTAAACAAGGAAGGGTATAATGCATTTTCCATCTCCATTCCATCCCTCGGTGACCTGCAAACGATTTTCGGCCCAGCCGCGCCCTTGTTCATAATGATGATGGCAAAGGTTTGATGAATTTTACTTTATTTTAAAGCTTTAAATACTTCATTGTGATATTTTTTCCCTTTTTGGACCTTTTTATTGTTTTAGGTAGCTTTCTATGCTCTCATTATCTATTTTGTGACGAGTTTGGGCACACACACCGTGGCTGGTCATCAGGTTAGAAAACTCTCTGTATTTTTCTATTGTCTGCTCGCTGATGTTAAGATGTATCGGTCTTAACATTACAAGTATGTGGTTCACTCTAGGTCATGATCCAAACCTACAGCATGTGCACCGTATGGGGTGAGCCCCTATGCCAAACCGCACGATCATTTATGCCGGAATTGCTATATGGAATCAACAGAAGTTTACCGAAGGTATGGATTCCGATTTCCATTTAGCTCTGAAGTATTCATATCTTTAGGTGGTGGTTATAAATTTTCTTTCGGTCATGTCAAATATGTGGATTCCCACACCATTCTTTATAATCTTTGATGAATGTGTGGAATTTAGCTTTCATTGTGAGCCATATTATGCATTTAGCATTGGATAAACTTTTGTTTGCTCAATATTAACAAGTTTATAACGTCCATCAGGCTCGAATGCTGCTAAAGTCACTCGTCGTCATCGGAGCTATCCTCGGGCTGCTATTGGGTATAGTTGGAACATCATTTCCTTGGTTGTTTCCCAATATCTTCACATCCAACCAGAATGTCATACGGGAGGTAAGTCCTTGCACTTTTCAAGTTTACGTTTCTCTCTATTACAAGTAGTTATCATGTTTTCTATGCGACCCGAGAGATATTAAGCTGTCTCTGTTCTCTAGTACTTCGAATACGAGGAGATTACATTTCCTACAATTCCGACATTGATGCTTTTAATTGCAGATGCACAAAGTGCTGGCACCATACATTATCGCACTAGCTGTGGCACCAATTACTCTCAGCCTTGAGGGAGCATTGTTGGTATGTCTTACAATAACCCTTTAATCCTTTCATGCAGCTTTCAGAGGTCTTGTTTTACGTGTTCCAAGTCCCGGTTTTACTCGAAAACATGTCTTGCCTTAAAGTTCATTGAATATGATGTTAATGCTGACTATGTCAACTTCTGATCCTTTGCAGGCAGGGCGAGACCTTAAATTTGTTAGCTTATCGATGAGCGGATACTTCTCGTTGGGTGCTGTTGTACTACTGGTGAGGATCTATGTCCGAATCTTCGATTTTGTTTCCGTAAAACGTGTTTGGAATTTGCTCATGTTTCTCTTGGTGTCAGCTTGTAAGCAGTGCAGGATATGGTTTTCCGGGTTGCTGGTATGCATCCTAAGTTTCTTAACGATGCGTACGATGCTCGGATCGGATCAACTCAAATGCTGACATTCTATTCGTTTTCCAGGCTCGGTTTTTCCTCTCGCTGCAACGCCTTCTTTCGCCTACCGGCATACTTCTCTCCGAAGAATCGAACAAGTATCTACAGGAGAAGCTTAAAGCTGCTTAGTATATCAATTTACGAGATGAATCTGTCGAGACTCAATCCTGCCTGCAGATCTATATCGTGAGAATACGAGTCAGAATTGTTTATCTTTATGCTTTTACGACACGGCTCAGCCGGCTGAGTCGAATCGTTTCTCAGGTAGTTTAAGCTGCTTATGATTCTTTCATTGATGCCTCCAAGAGGCTATTAAAGATTTCCTTTTTACATAATACAATAATTGATTTGGTCTTTTTACTCTTTTTAATTGAATTTGTCTCATTTGATTTTTTATGAATCCATTTTAAATTGGTCCCTAAATTTTAAATGATTTATGTAAGCCCCCAAACTATGACTCTCATTCTAAATTAGTCCTTAATCTCTAAAACATTTTATATCGGTCATCAAATTATTAATTTAAAATTTTAAGGTCATAGTTTGGGGATTATATAAAATGTTTTAAAACTT